GGTGGCGCGGGTCTCCGTGATCTTGGGCTCGGGCCTACGGCAGCTGAGGGCCATTCCTAGCATGCAGCGTTGAGGGTAAGGTCCAGGGAACGCGAGGTACGGATGGTATCGGGGACAAGTGCTGGCTGGGGTAGTTTGGAAACTCACAATTCGATCTCTGATCACATTCTCCCTCCCCCCTCCCCCTAGGCCACTGGGTTCACCGCCCGGGCTGCATCTTCTCTCCCGGAGCTGAAAACTACCCTGTTTTTGTGCAGTGCAGATTCGGCCACCGAGTTACGGAGCTGTCCAGGTTTCAGCTTTGATGCTTACTTAAAACTTGCTGGCCCTCCTCAGTCTGAGGACTCACGGCTGGAATGTTTTTTGAATGAAGCAGTCATTAGACTGCTGACCTTAGGAACTCTAGGTTGATTTTTTTGTCTCTGTTTTTGTTTTGTTTTTTTGAGACAGGGTCTCACTATGTAGTTGAGACTGACCTGGAACTCACTATGTAGCCCAGGTTGATCTCAAACTTGCAGTGATCTTCCTGCCTCAGCCTCCCGAGTGCTGGGATTACAGGCGTGTGCCACCACACCCGGCTAGGTTGATTTTTATTTTATTTATTTATTTGGTTTTTTTGAAACAGGGTCTCTGTGGTTCAGGCTGACCTTGAACTATGTAGCCCTGGCTCACCTCGGACTTTCAGGGATCCTTCTGCCTCAGCCTCCCAAACGTGCCCTGCCATAACCGACCCCAGGGTAAAATCTTCCAGCCTCAGCACACTTTACGTTTCACAGGCTTCTGACCCCACCTGCATAGGTTTGGTGGTTTTTTTCTTATCCCCCCTTAAGTCTAGGCATGGGGACAAGTAAACAGGTAAAGAAGGAAGTTTAGAGGTGACAGTATCCTCCAGAATGGAGAGGTAGGCCAAGCTGCAATCGGAAACCCTCCAGACTCTCCCTCAGTGTTCCTAATGCAGTTAGAACCATGGAGGCTGAGGAAATCACTCCCCTCCACCACTTGAGCTCAGATAGCACCCTAGGACCATTCTATATAACCCCGACCAAAGCACATGCCTCACCCGCACTCTCTTCTGTCTTAAGCCCAAAAGCCCAGTTTGTCTGTGTACCTGTGAAGTGTGCCTTTTCTTTCCTCCTGGCACCATTTCTGTGCTCCTGATCCTCAATCAATGTAACTCTTCTTTCACCATCAGGTGTACGCTTTGCAATTCTTTGTTAGCCTTCTCCACAAGCTTGAAATCTTAACATTCCCCCTTTTGACTCTGTTCCCTGTATGTGCTTCTTGTATTCTCACAGCTCTAAGGCCAGTGGAAATTAAGATTTTTCTTTCTGGTTCCTCAGGCAGAAGGCCTACTTTCAGCTCTGGCTGTACCCAGTTGCCTTGACTTGAGTCATCTGCCACGCCCTGCACAGTGACCTCCCATACACCTGTCACACACTGACACGTGGATTGACTACAAATTGATTGAACTCCAGGGGCTTTAAGAATTGCTCTGGGCCCAGGTGTTCTGGCGCAAGCCTGTAATCACAGCACTTGGGGGGTTGAGGCAGGAGGATCGCTGTGAGTTCAAGACAAGCCTTGGCTACATAGTGAGTTCCAGGTCAGTCTCAACTACATAGTGAGACCCTGTCTCAAAAAAGAAAAGCTCTGGGGCAGAAATACTGAAGCTGGGCTTTGAGGTGAGAAGCCATCAGGGCTCATAGGAACTGTCCCCTGCAACAACAGCTGAAGTCAGAGATGGGCCCGGCAGATGTGGGACAGGGCACCAGGAGCAGCTGCCAGTTTTTTCCTGGGATTTTGGAACCAAAACCAAGACAGTGTTCAGAATATGGTTCAGCATGTAACCATATGGTAAACTGTGGAATGGGCTATCTGCCATATTGCCATACTGTCATACTGACCGAGGTACAATAAAAAAGACTGTCACTTGTAGTACATGACTAATGTGACCCAGTGAGCTAGCTCCATAAGAAGAGGTTGATCCCAGCCAAGCATGGTGGTGCATGCTTATATTCCCAGCACTCAGGAAGCTGAGGTCGATCTTGTAGCTGACAGCTATGGGTTTAAGCTGTATCATTACCTGAGTTGTGTCTCTCCTCCCCAAGTCTATAACCCCCAGCACAGCTCTAGCTAACTGCCTTTACTCCACTGCTTTAACTTTTGTCTCTTGAGATAAGTTACACGCTACCCCATTAGAATCAACAACGTATTACACAAGGCTTTGGAATAATCTCTGGTCACAAGCACATGTCAGGGTAATGACACCCTAGAGACTGGGTCCAGGTGTGTTTAAGGGCCTGTGCCATGGGGATTCAGTTTTGGCATAGAGTCTTCAGAAGGACAATTACCAAAGAGCTCACTGTTTGTGAATTCTAGAGCCACCACCTGTGATATTCAGCATGAGTTCTGTTAGATTGCAACAAGAAGTTGCTAATATTTGACTTGTTTTAAACTTATAAAACAAGACTTTCATATGATTTAATTTTTTTTTTATTTAGACCGAGTCTTACTATGTACCTCAGGCTGCCTTCAAACTTGTTGCAGTCTTCCTGCATCAGCCTCCCAAGTGCTGAGATCACAGGCATGCTCCATCAAGCCAAACTTCATATGGTTTAATCGAATCTAAGCAGCAGATTTATTTTTTCCTGGCTGAAGATTTAGCTTCTCACAAGTACAAGATCCCAAGTTTGATCGCTGATAAGAATTATCACGCCTGTAATCCCAGCACTCTGGGAGGTTGAGGCAGGAGGATCAAGCTGTGAGTTCAAGACCAGCCTGGGCAACATAGTGAGTTCCAGGTCAGTCTCAACTACATGGCGAGACCCTTTCTCAAAAAACCAAAAAAGTAAAAAAAATTATCTTTCCCTGACCTATCTAATCCTGTATCCAGATCTCAGACACAAAAACTCATTGTGTGGGGAGTATGATTTAAAGTCCACACACTTTAAAATCACATATGCTAATCTAGGTGTGATAGCACACAATTTTGACACCAGCACTCTGGAAGCTGAAGCAGGAGGATCACTGAGTTCAAGGCCAGCCTGGGCTACATGCATAGTAAGACCCTATCTCAAAACAAACAAAATATCAGATGTGTCAATGTCTGTATGTATTAGTCCTCAGACTACCACTATTTTCAGCTAATGGAATAGAAGAGGATAGAGGTAGGATATGAGTTAAGCTGCTGTAACAGAGACTCAAAATAATACTAGCATAAATTAAAGAGAAATTTCATGTCTTCCTTGTATAATGATCCAGGGCAAGCACAACACTCAGGGACCCAGATGCCTCCTGTTTTATTGCTCTTACCATCCCTAAGGTGTTGCTTCATCCATGTGGTCCCAGTTGAGTCCTCCCAGGCAGCATAAGGCAGAGGGGGAAAGGAGGATGTACTCCTGCCATTTGAAGACCTGATCCTGAATCCACATGCATCACTTCTGTGCATATGTGGCAGTGGCCAGCACCTAGTCCCATAATCATACCTGCCTCCAGGGAACCTGGGAAATGTAGTCTTTCACTAGGTGGCCATTTGCCTAAATAACATTTCAGATAGTTGGGAGGTAACTAGTGTCACGAAGGGAAATAGAGGATGACTCTCATCATATTTAGCCCATCTTAAATTTGATGTAATGAGGCAGGTATTAGGTCATTTAAAGTCATGAAACAGCCAATATCATGTAAGGCATTTATCCCACTCCTGGGTTTTGAGAATGAGAACAGTAGAATCCAGTGCCACTTGGTCAATCTGTACTGTAGGACATTTGGTTGTTTACCCAGCAACCATTCCCCTACTCTCTAGCACAATACCCTGACTTTGATCATCATAATCCAAGCAATTGTGTTTTGCATGAGTCTCTTTGCAGTTCCAGAATGAATCTTCGATAGTCTAAGTCAGTGTTTTTCAAACTTTTTAACCATTACCCGTGTTAGGATCTGCATTTTATACCCAACATGAAGGTCACATTCACCACACTAACTCCATTTTGTTTGTCTCTGATTCCATTTGTTTCTTTAATTTTTTTCTTCTGGGCCACTCTCTTGGTTGCAGGAATGGCAGCTGTGATTGACAGGCATCTTTATAGCAAGCTAACGAAACTACTCCAAGTCACAGCAAGCCAAGCAGGAGCAATTACGCCATCAGGAACCAAGGCTGCCTCACACCAAACGACAAATTATCCTATGGCATGAGCCAAGGTGCCCCCTCGCAGTGGACACAGAATTGTCCTCTTGAGTGATGATGACTTTTCCACAGCCAGCCATTCCCAAGGTACAGATCAATCAGGCCACAGCTTGAGCAACAATACGTACACTGCCAGCTATGCAGAGCCCCCAGCTATCTCCAGCTCTTGCCTTTGTTCCCCTTTCCTCTAAAGCACCAAAGCTTCTGTCAGCCCCTTGAAGACAGACCTGGAACCCCTTTGTGGTTCCCGGCATGGCCATGTTGAATACTGTTTCTTCCCTGCCCTTACCGCTATTTGACAGCTTGATGGGCGTTTTAGGGCGAGTGATTGAGCCTGGTCTGTAGGAACCCCTGGGCCAAGGCTTTTACCCTAAAACTCCAGGAACAGACACACACAGGTACAACATTGATCTTTGATCTTACGTTTGATAGTTTGATATATTCTCATATTCTACTCAATTCTGCTTCATTTTTAAAATTGTAGTTGTCTTACACTTAGACTTATATCCCGCCATTCCATTAATTAGCTGCCACCTGCAGTTTGTGTGGGGTTTTTTTGTTTTGTTTTGTTTGGTGTGGGGGTTCAAACTCAGATCCTTGAGCTGGAGAGGCATGCGGCAGAACCACTGAGTTGTTGAATCCCCAGCCCCACCTGCAGTTTGAAAAAAAAAAAAAAGAGCTCAGCTGCTTCGAGTCAATTAAATTGCTCTTACTCCTTTCAGGTAAGGCATGTAGCAGAATCTGTGTATGAAAGAAAAATTTGCCCCATAATTGATTGTTTTTTGTTTTGTTTTGTTTTTTTGGTACCAGGGATCAAACTCAGAACCTTGCACTTGCCAGGCAGGTGTGGTGCCCCTGAGATAAATCCCTGGCCCTATCTCAAAATTGTAAAAAGACAAAATGCTGATTGCTTTTTTTTTTGAGACAGGGTCTCACTGTGTAGTTCAGGCTGGTCTTGAATTCGCTATATAGCCCAGGCTGGACTCAAATTTGCTCAGTAGTTTTCCTGCCTCAGCCTCCCCAGTGGGATTATAGTCATTTGCCTGCACTTGGCTCTTTTTTGGGGTAGGGTTTGGAGACAGGGTCTCATTATGTAGTTGAGACTGACCTGAAACTCACTGTGTAGCCCAGGCTGGTCTCAAACTCACAGTGATCCTCCTGCCTCAGCCTCCCAAGTGCTGGGATTACAGCCATGTGCCACCACGCCTGGCTTCTTTCTTTTGAGACATAGTCTAAGTCACTAAATTGCCCAGGTTGAGCTCAAACTACCAATCCTTCTGCCTGAGCCTCCTGAATTCTGGGATGGCAGGGATGGTAATTTCTCCCTTTTTGCTGTATGGTTCTTTGTTTTGCTTTGTTGTTATACTAGGAATCAAACCCAAGGCCTTATGCACGCTAGGCTAGTGCTATAACACCGAGAGACAACCCAGCCCTTTTTTTTATATATTATATTAGAGTTTTTAAAAATAAGCTTACTTGACCTTTGCCTGATACTCTTGAAAATCATAACTGTTGTCAATGAATTTTGACTAACAACCTATTACTGATAAAAGCACAGAGTTTATAGCTCTAAAATGTTAACCTGCAGACATTGTTATGATGTTGTGCTCAGCAAACACTCTTATCATTGCTCTGCATCCCCAGCCCACTGGTTTTTATCTTAAATTACTCCTCACACTATCTAGATGCCTTTATTTATTACTTCTTTTGGTGCTGAGTATTGAACTCAGCCTTGCAAATGCTAAGTACATGCTCTACCACTGAGCTCCACCTCCAGCCCCTTATTTTGTTTTGAAAAATAACTGTCAGATTGTCAATAATTGTTTTCAAGTTGAACAATAATCAGTTGGTTTCAAAAATTACACTTACTCATTTTATTCTGTTTGTATTTATTGGTGCATTTATTCTTTTTAGAGTTGTAGACTTCTGGTTGGGAGACAAAACCAAATGGCACAGACAAAACAAAGATGAATGCTCTCTCTTTTCCCATTCCCACTGTACAAAGGCCCAAAGAATATGAAAAATTAAATCTTTGGAGCTGTATCTTGAGCATCAGCCAGCATGGGGTGTGTGCTCTTGCTCGCGCGCACATGTGTATGTGTGTCTGTGTCTGTGTCTGTGTGTGTGTGTGTGTGTGTTGTTGTTGTTGTTGCTATATTTGTAATACTGAGGAACAAACCTAGAGCCTCCCACAGCTTACTTATGATAAGCAAATTATCTACCACTGGGTTCTACTCCTCCCTGAGCAGGGATGTTTTGACTGCTAAACTTACCTCAGAGACCCTGCAACCCCAAGAGAGAATGCAGTTCTCCTGGTATCTCCTCTCAAGCACAACATTACCCATACTCACCACTCCCCATACGTTGTGTGGATGTAGGCCCTTTTCTTCCTGAATAAAGGAATAAAGAACACAGAGATATCCAGCAACATTTTGCAGCTCATATAACTTTGAGAAGGTATCAGTTAACAACTGAGCAGTGCGTAAGTCCCTTTCACCGTAGACCAACAAAACACCAAGACCTGCTAAGCAGCTCTGTGGAAGAGAAGACACTCCTTCACAAATGAGCAGATGCGGTCATGGCCAGGCCTGCCTGACTTCAGCTTCAGGGTGAAAGGCAAGATGGCCAGAAATGCTGCCTTGCCTTTAATTTTGTGCAATCTGAGGTTGACAGAGACTAAGTCACTCGCCTATGGAGACGGGATCTGGACCTAGATTTTTGTGTTGCCTTAGGCCTTAGGTTCTTCTCCTCACACAAAACCTAAAAAGTTTATAGCCAGTCATAATAATGTGGACCTATAGTTCTAGCACTCAGGAGGCTGAAGCAAAGGGATCAAGAGTTCAAGGGTAGCCAGGACTACATATCCAGATCCCTTCCCCCACCAACAAAAAACTACTCTATAATCTCCTTAAGCACTGAAAAGAAGATATTTTTCTTCTCCATCATCATCAGCAGCAGCACCAGCAGCAGCAATGGTGGTTCCAGGAATTACTGAGGTACCTCCCCAGCCCTTTTAAAAAAACATTAAAAAAAAAAAAAATAAGGTCTCGTTAGCCAGGCATGGTAGCTCATGCCTGTAATCCCAGCACTCAGGAGGCTGAGGCAGGATTGCTTCGAGTTTGAGACCGCACACTGTTTGGGCTACACAGTGAGTTCCAGGGCAGTCTCAACTACATAATGAGACCCTGTCTCAAAAAAAAAAAAAAAAAAAAAAAAAAAAAAAGCAAAGATAAGGTCTCCTTAAATTGCCCAAACTGTCCTTGAACTTGCAATCTTCCTGCCTCGGCCTCCCAAGTATCTGGGATTACAGGCATGCACCACCATGCTCAGCTGAAAAGAGAAATTTTAAGTGATGGTTTTTCCCACAGTGGTTATGGAAAATTGCTTCATGGGTATCAAATACCTGATAGCATCAGGTTCTCAAATACCTAAACAAGATAACCAGGAGGGGAAGCTCTTTGAGTGGAATTGGCTTCAAATCCCAGGAGATGAGCAAGTCAGCATCTCTCCCTCTGCTGAGTTTTGGCTTGGTCTCTCAGATCTCTTGGGATGTACAATATTTGTGACAGTACTTGGCCACTTGTCCTCAGATGTCATAGCTCTCCAGGGAGTTAATTTTAGACTCCTAGTTTAAGCACAGTTCAAACTCATGACCTTACAGATTACTAAGTGATTTCACTTGTAGAACATTCCATTCAATCTAGTAAATATTGACTGAACCTTGTCAGATCTTGTACTAGGATGGTGAGTAGGGAAGGTAGATAATTTAAAGTCCTTACCCCCACATTGTTCGGTGTCCAGTAGTGAAGACAAATGAACAACTAACTCGAAGAAGTGCCTAATGCAGAGTGTTTCAAACTTCTTCAACCTGACCCATGTAGGAAAGAAGTATAGTTTACAAGAATCCTCCCCATATATGCAAAATGAAAATAGTGTTGCTTCTGGTGCACTGTTTTTGTTTTTTGGGTTTTGTTTTTTTTGTTGTTGTTTTTTGGTCATTTTTGTTTGTTTTGAGAAAGGGTAGTGCTATGTAGTTCAGGCTGTCTTTGAACTATGTAGCCCAGGCTGACCTCAGACTCATGGCAATCCTCCTGCCTCAGCCTCCGAGCACTGGAATTATATGTGCGTGCCACCTTGCCCAGCCATGACCCCTAGTTTAAAAAGCACGCTCTAATGGATACACCAGGCCCCATAGAACACAAAAATGGCAGGCAGGCAGTGTTGCTAAGGAGTGAGGATGGGGAGGATTAAGTGCTCTTCGGTTTGTTTCAGTTTTGTTTTTTGAGACAAGGTCTTACTATGTAACTCAGGCTGGCCTTGAACTCACAGTGATCCTCCTGCCTCTGCCTCCTGAGCTTTGGGATTATAGGTATGCGCCACCACACCCAGTGCAGTGCTCTTTGAGCTGAAGCCAAAAATTTCAGTTTCAAAGAAGCCAAAAGTTTCTTTTAGAGTGCCAGGCCTGTAATCCCAGCACTCAGAGGCTGAGGCAGGAGGATCGCTGTGAGTTCAACAGGAGAGGAGCCTGGGCTACACAATGAGTTTCAGGTCAGTCTCAACAAACAAACAAAAGTTTCATTTAGAGGAAGGGTGTGGGGGAGCATTGCAGGTGTCGGATTATCCTTACCAAGAGGTACAGAAGAGACTGAATACATGGCTCAGAAACCCAAGTGCAAAGGACAGGGATCCAGCTAGTGTGGACCTGGGCTGAGGGGAAGGCTTGGGACTCAGAGCGTGGAGCCACTGTGTGGGTGGGGCTGGGAACAGCCTGGTGAATTATGAACAGGTTTATTTTGGTTCCTGGTTCTGGGCCAATGTTAAGGACCTGCATCTGGTGATGGTCCTCCTACTAGCAGAGTCCCAAGGCTGCAGGAAACCGGAAGCTCAGGGGAGACTGGGCCAAGCTGGCCTTTGTAACAGACTTGCTTTCAAGGTAACCCATTAACCCTTGGCATGAATTAATTAATCCATTCATGAGGACAGAGCACTAATCTGCTCTTCAAAGTGCCACTTGGCTCCTCTTTTTTTTTTTTTTTTTTTGAGACAGGGTTTCACTGTGTAGTTGAGACTGACCTGGAACTCACTATGTAGCCCAGGCTGGTCTTGAACTCACAGCAATCCTCATGCCTCAGCCTCCTGAGTGTTGGGATTACAGGCGTGCACCACCACACCAAGCTGCTGCTGCTTCTTTTTTTTGGCTCCTCTTAATATCTCATAATGGGAGCCAGGTATGGTGGTGCACACCAGCACTTGGGAGGCCGAGGCAGGAGGATCACTGTGAGTTTGAGAACAGCCTGGACTACACAGTGAGTTCCAGATCAATGTCAACTACATAGTGAGACCCTATCTCAAAAAAACCTAAAAAAAAAAAATGATAACGGGGATTATGTTTCTTTTGTTTTTTGCTTTCCAGTACAGGGGATTGAACCTAAGGTCTCACTATTTTTGTTTGTTTGTTTGCTTGCTTGCTTGCTTGTTTTAAGGCCCTGGATTCCATCCCCAGGATGGGGCCCTTACTGGATTGGAACCCAAGGCCTTTGCATCCCTAGACTTTTTTTTTTTTTTTTTTTTTTTTTTTTGGTACTGGGAATTGAACTTGGGTCCT